ATGTGTATCTTAGTACAGATTTGAAGCAGTCATATTGGTAATATATCTAAAACTTTCTTCTCTCTTTATAAACTTACAAGAAATGCTTGTAGCTTCGGGGAATTGACTTGAATCAGCCCCTCACATGTCAAAGAGATGCCAGCTAAGTTCTCCTGTCAACCAATAGCCTACTGAAAAGTTTCTGTATTCCATAAGCCTCTCTGCTGATGAACAATCCAAATCAGACAAAATCAAACTGAGTTACAAAAAGCCCATGTTTAATGACTACAATGCTCCCTGACTTCCCCCTCCCAGGATATGGGAAAGAGAGACTGGAAAACTATACCTCTATTTTCTGGGGGGGACAGTTTAACTACCTTGTGGGAGTGGTCTTGAGCTTCTCTGGGAGAGGGATCATCATTTGGAGGGCCTTCTGAGATGAAGTAGGGTTTGTAGGGAGACAGGGGAGGGGGCTTGAAATGGAACTTCCACCAGAACATCCCAGAATCTTTGGGCATATGGATGCCAGGGGCTGGGGTGAAGTTTCTACCATAACACCTACTTCCTGTTCTAGAAGGTGGAATCTCTCCCCGCTTTCCCTGGCCTTGAAAATCCCCTCCTCAAAAGTTGGAGACAATAGGTCTGGAAATTTCAAATGTGCACACAAGATAAAATTTTCCCCTAAACTCCTTAACTTTACCTTCTCTCCCTAGTCTATTTGTCCCTGGAGATTTCAAATCGACTGCAGGCTGCTGCAGTAACTCTCCAGCTCCAACGTTTCTCCAGAATCTACATTCCAGATGGCTCCATGGCATCTAGCCACTGGTGGTCCATTATCACAAACTTTCCAAAGCTCGTGTGTGTGTGTGTGTGTGTGTGTGTGTGTGTGTGTGTTGTACTGTAACTTACAGTAGTCTGTGAAGATGAGATCACTCTGACCATTGGAGCTGGATTTACAGGAAGTTGTGAGTGGCCTGATGTCTGTGCTGGGAATCCAGTTCTGGTCCTTTGCAAGGACAGCAAGTGCTTTTCATTGCTGAGGCATCACAGCAGCTGGAGGCAGAATATGTTTATTACATCATCAGGTAACAGTAGTTTTTGCAGACAAGGTCTTACTATACAAATATCCCTGGCCTGGAAGTTGCTGTGTAGATCAGGTTAGTCTGGAATTCAAAGACATCCCTCCTGAATGTTGGACTACATGGTTAGCTTAGCAGATCAGAGCACTTAGCAGGTAACCTGTGTTGGATTTCTAGAATCCACATGGCTGGTCACAACTCTCTGTGACTCCAGTCCCTGGGGGCCTAATTCTCTCAGCTAGAATGCTCATGATGCATAGACATAAGTGCAGGCAAAATACTCATGCACATGAAGGTCATTAAAACTTAATAAATGTCAAGGCTCCTTGAATCTTTTTACATGTGTTATTTCTCAAAACTGACACAGGCATTGCTTCTTCAAGGCTGTTTACGCTGTGGACTTGAAATACCAATGAAGTCTTCATTGGCTGTTGCATCTATGTCGGTAGAAGCGTCTTGTATACTGAGCATGTGCTGTATTTATACACATGTTAATTTTAATAAAGAGTGTGGTTTTATCAAGTCCTTAGATCTCCCAGTATTCATAAATTTAAGTAAAAACTACCAAAAGTCAATTGTCAATATCACCACAAATGTCTCAAAAGTTTGTAAGCACAAGAAGTTGTCAAATTTATGGTGAGGAACTCAATTATCAAAAATTACTAATGTTCCCTTGGGGGCTTATATTTTATCACTGTTGTAGCTGATAGGGAGGGCATTGGTAGCAATGATTGATTCATATTGTTTATTAGAAGAGGAAGAGAACATATCCATCAAGTATTTTCCAAAGGCGCACACAGTGGGGAGAAGGAACCACGATCTCTATGTGGCAGAGGCTGCATGGGCACTATTTTGGACAGGTACTTCCCTTTGTGCAGTTTCCTGGCATGCTGTTCAGTCCCTGTGGACAGGAGTCCAGAGATGCTGGTGTGCATGAATTTCTGGGAGAGTTCCATGAGCTTCTGTACATATCAATCCCAGTGTAAGCAATTCTAATTTTCTGCCATCGACTCTTTTAAATGGACATTTCCATTCCATGAAGTGCAGGCGATTGCTGCTCTTGAAGCTGTTTAGTCCCCGCCTCCCACCCTTTTGTTTTTTACTAAAAAGTGTTCTCTAAGCATATATTTACAAACTTCTCACACTGGAACACCAAATTTTTTTGCATAGTGGTTGTGTGCCTCTAATGCCAGCACATCAAAAGAGGAGGCATAAATATTAGTAGATCAACACCACCCTAAACTACATGTGATCATGTCTTAATACAACAATAACTACAATAAAAATTCACATAGTAATTGCATACTTCCTATCTGTAAAAATCACTTCCTAATTTCTGGCATCTCTTACAGAAATTGTTAAGTAGAGTAGTTCACAACTTCTCAGAAGACTTATATGTCAAGGCACACACCTTGTGACGCCAGCACTTTGGAATTTAGGGTGAGAAATCAGGAGTTCAAGGATGAGAAACCCATGGTAGATGAGGGCTCATGGGCACAGCTTGAAAGAGTGGCCAGGGAATAAACTGGGAAAATTAAGTAACTGCTATCAGGAGAGGTGATGGATGTCCAGAAATCTAAGGTTTATTAGTAAAATAAAATAGGAAAATTGAAGAGCAGAAAGTGGGTGGGGTGTCCACTTTCCCTGTAAGTAAAGTTGAACCTCACGCCGGGACCTAGAGACTAACCTGGAGATCTGTTTGCTCCTCTTCCCACATTGGTGAATGTCCTTCTCTGCTCTTTTCTCTGTGCCTATGCCTTTACCCTGTTGTGCTGGCCAATCCTAGTTTACAGTCACAGCTGTCAGAATCCAGGCTTTCACCCTAAAATGTCTGATGACAACAGCATGAGATTCCTGAAGTCAAGGGTCCATGGGCCTGAAAGGACAATGACAGACACCCCTGTTCCTGTCAGAAAGTGGGTGACCCTGGGAAGAATGATAGCAGACTCAGACTCAGTTCCAAGGGGAAAAAAAGCCTTATTCCCGGTAGATACAAGGAACAAAATCAGAGGAGTCTGGGACGCCACCTCCTCAGGATGGAAGACAGCAGGACAGACAGCCACAGTCCACTAGAATCTACAGGGAATGCACTGGCCTTTGTCAGGGACAGCTGACTGAAGTTGTGGGTGATGACCACCCATACGTGAAAATATCAGTCAAGTAAGGGAGGAAATTCTACAAACCAGAACAAGGATACTATCCTGAGTTCATAAAGGGGGTTAGTGTGTCTATAAAGCATCACCATCCTGTAAGAAGGAGTTGCCAGAGCCCTAATTAAGACAGAGAGCTCCAGACTATCACCATAGTTTTAACAGGATGAACCATTTGGGTGCAACTGGAAAGATGGCCCAGGTGAGAAGGGAAGAGACCTTGTGAGAGCCCAGGGTGTTCTGAGCAACACCTGTGCACAGCCCTGGCCACATGTGGCTGCACACAACTTCCAACTGTCACTACAGGCAATGGACTTAGCACAGCACACACGATTCCATAAGATTCTAAGCCTTTATTTTCTCTATCACCTTTCACTCATCTTTAGGACACTAATCAATCACACACTGTGGCAAGAAGTTGCACAACCATAAAAAACGCTTAAATAAAGACAGAAGCAAATGGCAGAGGTGGCTCGCAGCTTTTGTCCCCGAACTCCAAAGGCAGAGGCAGAGGCAGATCTCTGAGAGTTCCAGGCCAGTGTAGTCTACAGACCTAGTTCCAGGAGAGCCAGGACTACACAGGGAAACCTTGTATTAAATAATTACTACTACTGCTACTACTACTAATAATAATAATAATAAAAGACAGGGGCATTAAGTTGTAGCTGGTTGAAAAACTAAAGCACTATGAGCAATTGGAGTTTCCCAGCCCTGCCCCTGTTGCAGGTTCAGTGATGACCTGGGAGGACACAAAGGTCAGGGTAGGATGGGGCTTGCTGCTGCTCAAGGCTTGGCTGAACTCATCATCTGGTTACATTTTGCTCAGAGGAAACAGAAACATAGCTACCATCATGTCACATACAGAAAGAGAAGGCACGAGGTCCTGAGACCACAGTGAGAAGAGAAACCAGAAAAATCCTGTTAGGCTCAGCCCGCCTGTCTTACCCTGTAGAAGAAAAGAACAAGGATGGAATTCAGATAAGTGTCTTAAATGGTGATGTTGTGAACAGCTAATCACACACTATCACACACTCAAAGCGTCCCAAACCCTAGAGTCTCCATGTCCCAGGGTTCTATCCTCTGACCTCTCCCTGTCACACACAGGCCCTTAGGGTGTCACTTCTTTAAGCTTTAACACGAGGCTGGACATCCTAGAAACTTTATGTGCCAGTGGAAAGATACTCAAGAGCAGATCTAACTCGCTGACACTGGAACTAAACGAGGAGGTAAGGGCTGGCTGAGAACCTCCATGGGCTCCTGCATGTACTGGCACAGGTGTCTCAGGGATGAGTCCCCAGTGTAAGGACCCGCTAGCCTGACCACAGCTGCCTCACATGTTACCCCGGGATTGATCCTTTTATTAGAGCTAATGGCAGAATCAGGATCCAGAACACCTGGAGGAATCCCCTGGTCTGTATCTCAGGAAGTTTCCAGAACTGTGACTGCAGATCCAGAGGAGGATGAGGAAGCATGATGGAGGACTGCACATGTAGAGGACTAACTGGACTCCTGCATATCTGTTCCCACAGGAACCTTCCCATCTGACCTGTGAGGATCTGGTCTCTGCCACCTCTGTCATTGCAGTGATGAATCTGTTCATTATTTCCTTTATGCTTCACAGTGGAGTTAATGTCAGCTCATCAGCACAAGACACAGTGAGAAACTGTGTGCATGAAACTTTGGTCTCATGTGGCAGGGCACACTCTCAGCTGGACTTGATATTCCCAGGGATTCATGAGCTCAGACCCTGCCCTTTCCTTACCTTTAGTCTTCCTCTTCCATATCAGAAAAGTCACACAGCTCCCATAAGCACAGCTCCAAGAACCAGGCCAGTAACAATTGTGATGGTGGGGCCAGCGGGCTGAGGAGGCTCTGAGGGAAGGATGGAAGGAACAGTGAGGCCTCTGACCTCCAGCTGTCAGTCATGACCCTGCTCCAGTTCCCCAAGGACTCCCACCCTCACTTTGAGAGGGTCTGTGTTCACTTCCAGTCCTTACCCCATCTCAGCATGAGGGGCTCAGGCAGCCCCTCATGTTGCACATGACATGTGTATCTCTGCTCCTCCCCAGAAGATACCACCACAGCTGCCCACTTCTGGAAGGTTCCATCCCCTGCAGGCCTGGTGTTTATCACCTCCTTGTCCTGGGTCTGATTGTTCCCATCCTTCTGCCAGGTCAGGTGGTCATAGCATGCCAGGAATCCAGGGCCCAGCACCTTAGAGCAGCATTCCCTTCAACTCTAATCTTATGTGTCACACACACACTTGTGGGATATCTGAGGGAAACAAATTGAAGTATTCAGTCTTTTTGCATTCTTCCTGGGATCCATCATTGTTTGTAGCTGGAGTTTCCCTCCAGCCTGGTCCCACAGCTGATTAGCACTAAATAAACACACAAAGATTTATATTAATTTATAAGCTGTTGGCTGATGAATAGAGCTTCTTACCGGCTGGCTTGCTCTGTCTTGATTATTATCCCGTAACTACTAATCTGTTTACTTGTACATGACTTTATCTTATCAGAGAATGCCTGATGTGTCCTGTCTTCTGGGTCTCCACATGGCATACCTCCCCAGGTTTCCATCTCTCCCTCTTTTCCTTGATATGGTAGCCCTGCTTATCCTTCCTGCCTGGCTATTGCCCAAACCGTGTTTTTTTTTTCATCATCTAATAAGGGAACCATACATACAGAAGGACATAACCCATCAGGTGCTCATGTATCCTTGTTTTGAATGGAAGGAAGAGTTGGATTAAAGGAGAAAGACAGACCCCACCCATCAGCCTAATTTCAGGATATGGATTTGGTAATCTATCTTTTGGAAAGTTTTAGAACAAGCATAAACCTGCACAGAGTAGGAGACTGGATCTCCCTCTAGGAATATTGACTTCTGATTCTGACTGGATGGGGCCTGAGACTCAGCCACACTGGAGTCAGACCTCCAAAGTGCATGGACAGTGAACAGGCATGACACAAGGCAAACGGAAGGGAACTGCTGTTTAATGACAGACTGTACTGTCCTGAGAGAAGGCTTTGCCCTCTGGGGTCCCTCTCTCTTGCTGAATTAGGAAACCCATGACACTCTTTCCCCTGTTGATGCAAGACCCAGTTATTGCTCCATCTGCTCCCTGCTGAGGACAAATCCTCAGGGGACAGGGGCTCCAGTGTCAGAGCAGATGGGACAGTGTTTGTTCTCACCAGTTCTCAGCAGAATCCTCCTCCCATAGTCAAGCTGTGTGCGGAGTGAGTCCACACATTGACCCTGGATGTGAGTCTTCATAAAGTTTGCAAAATTTAGCCAGGCATTGGTAGCAAATGCCTTTAATCCCAGCACTGGAGAGGCAGAGTCAGGTGGCTCTCTGTGAATTTGAGGCCAGCCTGGTCTACAGAGCTAGTTCCAGGACAGGCTCCAAAGCAATTCAGAGAAACCAAACAAACAGACAGACAGACAGACAGACAGACAGACAGACAGACAGACAGATAGATAGAAATACAAACCCCAAAACAACAAAAAAGTTTGCAAAATTTGATTCCTCCCACTCAAGCCTGAGATTTTCAGCTCCTTTGCCCACAGTGCTGAGTTCCTCATTCAGGGTGATGTAGTCATGGAGATTGAAGGTTAATTCACATTGGGGGTGATGGGACACTCGGGACAACAAATCACAGCCATACAGATTCTGGATAGAGTGATACCCTGGCCAAGCCCTCACTCTCAGCCACAGACCAGGTCCCTTGCCGGGACCCTCCAGTGGCTTGCCTCTTCCTGTGTGGGCTTTCTAATGACTAGATTTGGACTTAAACTGGACAGAAAACCAGGTCAGTGTCCCAAGACTCTCTTCAGCCTAGTCTCCATGGGTCACATTTCACAGGGATAAATCCCCAACATGACACACTGGGGCCATCCCATTGGGAGCATGAGATTTGGGATTTCTGATTTGGACTCACTCACCAGTTTCATTATAGTTGTAGATGTGGAACAGATTCGTCAGCATTCTTATGAACCTATGTCTTTCTGACAGGGCCTGATGTGTCTTCCACTCCAAGCATCCTGGCTTCTTCGGATTCATCCATGGTGACCTGTGCTCCATCCTTGGAAGCTCTGCTCTGCTGTTGAATTGCTCAAACCGAGTGTCATCCTCAAAGGAAAGGTAAGGAAAGTTTCAAAATAGCACAGTGAGTGTGAACCTAGGTGGAATGGACCTTTAGATCTCAACCTCCAACCTAGGACCCTATGCGGCTCTGCACCCAGGTCTGGGGAAAGCAGGGCAGGGGCCAGGGGTCAGGATGCAAAATGGAGAAGGGACTTAAGGGTCTGGCTGAGCTAGCATGACACAGACTTTTCTGTGCTATTGCCCCAAGGGTGGAGCCTTTTTATCTCCCAGGTTAGGTCTTTTCCCTTCTGACACCACACTTACCCTCTGGATGTCTGGTCAGGGCGAGGTTGTCCAGGAACAGCAGGAGGAGAGACTAAGGAACAAAGGTCTTCATTTTACTTCAAGAGTACACTCTGAATCTCTGCTTGTCTGTGTTCAGTTTATAATCTTGATATGGAGAAAGCTGATTGACTTCTCTAAGAATTCCCAATGGTAGTGAGCGAGAGCATTGTGCTGAGTCATGGGAAGATGAAGTCCTGGAGGAGGAATCTCCAGGGCCCTGCTTTCCCAGCTCAGACTTAGCTCTGGAACCTGGGATCCTAGCAGCAGTGTTTGGGGACAATATGCTTACCATGGTCGTTGTCCATCTCCTCCTAGTCAAAATATCCTTCTGAGTCCAGATCAGAGGCCATTGAGTCAGCAGGTTTTACACTGAGATATCAGGATTTCTACAGAGTCCTAGAAACTGATTGACTTTCAAAGGTGCTAATGCCTGTGAGCATTATGTGATCCATGTTCACTGTGTTAGGAATTAAAAATCTTAAATATTTGCTTCATGGAACATTAATGATAAAGAACATGAAAGCAGAATGTTTACAAAAGGAACAACTGTTTCTCAAAATAAAAATTATATGGTGAAAATAGTAGATGTTTACATGTCTGCCTGTTCTTATCCTTAACTTTCCTACAGAATCTTGGATTCTTATTCTCCTTATAAGAATTTTAGTTTTATGTGCAGTGTAAAAAATGCATCTTCACAAAAATGTACAGGGAGATATTTTTAAGATCTATGTTTTTCGTTCATGTGTGTACTTTTGTTTGTCTGTATGTGAATGCTGGGAGTGAAATCGTTTGTGGAAGACAGAAGTGCCTCTTAGTAACCGTGGAATAGGATGACCAGCAAGTTTTGAGCTTCCAGACTTCTGGGACTCTGATTTTTGTCTTCTGTACATTTTAGCCATCTCTCTATCCAAGGGGAAATATTTTTATTTATTTATTTATTTTATATAGCCAAGGCCATTTAAATGAAAACAAACATTTATAGCAATATTTGGGAATTTGGGCGTCGTTCTTTCCAAACTACTTCCTGCTGGTAAGGGACGCTGTCATGGGGGATTCTAAGAAGATGCAGAAATCCTGGCTGTAGTCTGTAAGGCTCCTTTGTCCAGCTGTTTTGAATGTAGGATCACCTGGTACTCTGTTTCAGGCGGTCTGGCTTGATCAAACCACATTAGTCTGGAAGGAATCCACAGCTTTTCATTTTCTGTGGAACAAAAATAGAAATCCTCCAAGGGGAAATATTTTTATTTACCAGTTAATATAATTTTTTTGAGGCTGGTCTGTAATTCATAGACATACATATGCTGGGTACTGAGATAGAGGCATGGATCAGCATCTCTGCAATCCTGATTCCCCACCTCAGATCCAGAGCTGGGGCGTCGTATCCAGGGAGCAGTGCACACATTGGGCACACTGGGCACACATTGCTTTACCCTGAGGCCTGTCCTCCTGGCCCTCGTCTAAACATCCTTCTGAGTCCCTCTCAGAGGCCGGGGATCAGACAGTCTCCAGTGCATTGAAACCGGCATCTCTACACTAATTAGAAATTGTGTGGATTTCAACAGTAATTATGACTATGTAGATATCAATTAATATTTACCATGTTAAGAACATTGATTTTGGGGACATTTTCTACTTTGAAGATGTAACTAATTGATTGTACACAGATGTTTCATGAGACAAATAGCTGCTTTCCAATGATAAAAACAGATAAAAACAGGATGTTATAATTTCTGCATGTCCTTCTCCTCACCTTTCCCATTTGTATATCCTCTTTAGAGTTTCTGGCTTTTTGAAAGTCCGAAATGTACATGTTCACAAATGTACGTCAAAGTTCATATATATGTGATATACATGTGAGTATATATAAACATTCACTTTTCAGTCCCTACATCGGCCCTGTGTTTGTATGCCAGTATTCCTGCTGCCTGGGTGAGCCAGAAGAGGGCGACAAAACCATGGGCCTGGAACTGAGTAGTCTGTGGGTTGGGAAGGCTGGCTGGCTCATTAGAATCCACTCTGGTCCCTGCAAGACCAGCAAGAGCTCAAATCTGCTGAGCCCTCTTCCAGCTCAAGCAGATGTCTTCTAATGGACATCTTCAGATAACTGTCAATTGAGACATGAATTCACTACTTAGTCCCAGATGGCCTGGAACTTGTTATGTAAGCCAGGCTATCATCCAACACAGAATGATGTATCTGCATTTTCCTCCAGTGCACTGGGATTAATAACATGAGCTGCAGCACTAGCTGACTGTAGATTTCTACCTTTGAAGCTTCACTAAGTCCACACCAGTGGTCTGTGTTCAAGGTTGTTACACTGTAAACCTGAAGTGTTAATGACTTCTTTATAGTCTATTTCCTTCCTGTCCACCATGCTATTTCCCCTTCCTTGGAAAATCCCTTCCTCCCCCTGCTACAGATATTGTAAATAAAACCCACTTATCTAAAGTTTCAAAGCAAACATCCACAAAAAAAACATACAATGTTCACTTTTCTATGTTTGATTGAGTTTCTTCACTCAGGATGATTGTTTCATTCATTTTCCTGAAATTTCGTAGTTTCATTTTTTCTTAACAGCTGAATAACATTCTGTTGTGTGAATGTGCCACCTTTTCACAATCCATTCATCAGCTGATGGACATTTTGACTTGTAGGTGAAGGTTCTTGTCCTACCTGGTACTGCAGCCAATTAGCCCCAAATAAACAAACTGTTGGGCAATGGCTAGAGCTTCTTCCTGGGTGTCTCTCTCTTAATTATGAACCCATAATTACTAATCTATGTATTTCTTCGTGGCCTTATCTTACCAGAGAACACCTTGCACATCCTATCTTCCTGGTCTCTACATGGCGTCTCTCTGCAGCTTCCTTCTCTCTCGTTACTCTTTCCTCTTGTAACCCCACGTATACTTCCTGCCTGGCTGTTGGCCAATCAGTGTTTTCTTCATCAACCAATAAGAGAAACATATATACAGAAGGACATTCACCCATCATAGACTGTTTCCAATTTCTGACTTTTATGAATAGCACAGCATAGATGAACAAGTACAACTGTAGTAAGATTAGAATACCTTGGGTAAGCCTATAATTCACACCTCCAGAGAAACTAGGATACAAGGAGGAACCTAAGAGATTCATACAAGGTCCCTCACAGAAAAGGAAAGGAACAAGATCTCCTGAGCATATGGAGTGGGGGGGGCAGTGAGTAGAGAGGGAGCTAGGGGAAAGAGAAGGGGAGGAGAGTAGAGCATGTGGGACTAGGAAGATTGAGTCAGGGGAGGAATAGACAAGAGCAGAGAGAGAGAGAGAAAGACAGAGAGAGAGACAGAGAAATACCATAAAAGAGGGAACCATGATAGGTTTAAAGAGAAAACTGACTCTAGAGAAATGTCCAGAGACCTACAAGGATGACCCCAACTAACAATCAGTGCAACAGTGGAGAGGCTACCTTAAATACCCTTCCCTGATAATGAGATTGATGACTAACGTATATGTCATCACAGAGCCCTCATCTAGTAGCTGATGGAAACAGAAACAGACACCCACAGATAAACACTGAGCGGAACTCCTGGAATCCAGATGCAGAGAGGGAGAAGTGATAAGAAAATGGGAACAAAACCAGGCTACAGAAACCCACAGAGACAGCTGACCTGAACAAGGGGGAGCTAATGGACCCCCAGACTGATAGCTGGGAAACCAGCATTGGACCAACTCGGACCCCCTGAACATGGTCTCAGTTAGAAGGCCTGGGCAGTCTAAGGGACCTTGGACAGTGGAACCAGGATGTATCCCTGGTGCACAAAAGGACTTTGGGAGCACATTCCCCATGGAGGGATACTCCCCTAACCTAGAGGCAGGAGGGAGGGCCTAGACCCTACTCCAAATGACTTGACAGATTTTGTTGACCCCTCCTGGAAGGCATCACCCACCCTGTGGAGTGGGGGGGTGGGGTGTGTGGGAGGGTGGAGGGGATGAGAGGGAGGGAGGGAGGGAAAGAAGGAGAGAGGGAACTGGGATCAATATGTAAAATAAGAAAAAAAATCCCTTGGGTATATACCCAGGAGTGGCATGTAGCTTTTATACTACTACAGATCTTCTGGTAGAGTTATGTGGTGGTCTGAATGAAATGACTACCATAAGCTTATTTATTTGAAAACTTTGTTCCCAGTTTGTGGACTTTTTGGGAAGTATTACAGGGGGGTAGCCTTAAAAGAAAAGATGTGTCACTAGGAGTGGGCTTTGAAGTTTCATTTCTGATTAATTGAATTCCACGCCATAAATTTAACTAATCCTTAACAACTACAAATTTTTCTGGCGAAATTTGTGGTAATTGGAACAACTAAGATTTGATGGTATTCTTTTCAATGTGTGAACACTGACAGATCTTTGGATTCGTCAAACTATGCACTGCTTTCAAAATCATATTGAGTAAAGTGATGCCCACTCAATGATTGGAATTCTCCTATGGACATTAATTGTGTAGACTATGAAAGATTCAATGATAGCTCACATTCACACTGTCAACAGTGTTGAACAAGTGCCACCTGTAATGAGATTTAGTGAAGTACAAAATGTAAAAATCTAGAGTGAGACAGTGTGGTAGCTCATGCCTTTAATCCCATCACTTGGGAGGGAAATGTAGGTGCTTTTAGGGGCAAGGTTAGCCAGGTTTACAAAGTAAGTTGGAGGCCAGTGACAACAATACATTGAGAGCCTCTCTCAAAAAAAAAAAAAAATCTTCAGTCAGAGCCAGCTTCATAGTGCACACTTTTAATCCAACACTGGGAAGGTGGAGGCAGGGAAAGGTTTCTGAGCTCCAGGCCAGCCAGCCTGGTTTACATGTTGAGTTACAGGATAGCTAGGGCTATAGAGAAAGATTCCTGCCTCAAATGAATGAATGAATGAATGAATGAATGAATGAATAAATAAATAAATAAACAAATAAATCTTTGACTTTGCCAAGACATTTCCTTTAAAAGCACTCCCTTCTGCACTGGAGAGAAGGCTCAGCACCCAAGAGCACCCGATGCTTGTTCAGTACGCTAGAGTTGTGTTCATATCATCCATGCTTCCCACTGAAAACTTGTAGAGAAGCCATTCATTTTAACTGATATGAGGGCTATAAACTAAACAGAGAACATGCAGACTCACACTTGAGCCATCATTCATTCCTGCTAGTGGTGGCTGCCTTACCTGTTGATGCTCTCTCCTCCTGCTGCAGCTCCTTGCAGTACACTTAAGAAATTTCTGCTCTTTCAACTCCCACATAAAATGTGACACCAGACACCAGAGGGTAAGTGCAGGGACC